GCTTCTTTCCAATTAGCACTTTGCTTACAGTTGATCGCTTCTTCATAAGATTCGGGCTCTTCAGAATCAATAATAAAAGCTTCACTTATCATTATATAATCTTCAAAACGCTTTGGCTTTCTCAAGTCAGCTCTATCTCTTAGTTATCTTTGACTGTGCATTATTTTGCAAATTAATATCTTCACATTCTTGTCTTTCAAAATGTTCTTCTGATATATTTCCAGATATTTCTTTGTTGTATTCTTTTTCTGAATTATCTTCTTCACAAAGAAACTTTTCTGACTTATCTTTTTCTGAATTTTGTTGATGTTCAGAGCCAGAAATTAGGCTATCTTGATCTTGAATAGGTAACTGCACCCTTTCTTCACAATTTGTGAGCTTTTCGTTAAATATAATATCACGTGAACAGATCACACTATTGGTTTCTTTGATCCATAGTCGGTAGCTTTCGTCTCCATCATAACCAATTAAATAAGCTTTTGTAGCTTTATTATCAATTTTCCTTCTTCTTTGTTTAGGAATATGGGCATAACACACAGATCCTACAATACGAAGATGCTTAACTCCAGGTTAAACCATAGCTCAGAAACCTCATGCCTTCTACTGATCATTTGCCAGTTCTGTTGAGTACATATATGGCAGTGTTGACTAGTTCAGCCCACATTGTTGCAGGAAAATGAGCTTCAGAATTTGAGTACTTAAATGTTCTTACCATTTCGATTATTGTACGTATGTCTCTTTCACTAGAGCCATTTTGTTCAGGAGAATCAGGTGCTGTTAGTCTTTGAGTTATACCTTCAGAATGCAAAATAGCACGCACTTTGTCATTGTCAAACTCGCCTCCATTATCGTTGAGAAATTCTTTGACTGAATGTCCTAAAATTTTAGCGTGGGCAAGCATGTGTTGTAACATATTGTTGCGTGCGTACGGATTCGTTACTAAATGAATGCACAAATCCGATGAAAAATGAACAAAAATTTATTATTATCACAACAGAAATGCTTAAATTTTCTCAAATTATCATGCAGTATCACAATATCTCACAGTAGTTATCTTTTAACTACTTAAATGTACAATAGAACGTAATTCAAAACAGCTAAAGAACGCTAATCCGCGAATTCGCTATAATCAACAACGGCAGTTTTCTAAACAACAACAAACTAAGCAACTACTACGAACTGAGATGTTTTCCTCCTTTTATAACATTTTAAAATCACGCGCTAGAATTTTCCAGTACTTTCTCGAAATGAAAAAGAGTTATTTATTTATTTAATGCACGCGCTCTTGTATTTTCAATTTTCCGGCTTAGCTTTCTTTTAATATTCGTCACGCGCTGCACTGCGCGAGAAATAAAACCATTTAATTTATAATTGAACTAACATTTGCTTTTTAAATACCAAATTCGTAACAATATTTACAACAGCAGATTTTTCCTTGATAAAATACCCATAACGAAACTTTGTGTAGCTATCTTTAAACACAACTAAGTATCTTTTCTTCTGGAAAGATTCATCAAAAGGTCCACAGACATCAGCTGAAATTAATTCACCAGGCTTGCTGGCTGGCTTTCTTATGCCAAATGGTAAACGGTGTGCTTTGCGAAAAATGCATGGTTCACACAATTTTCTTTCAAATGGGATTTTAATTCCTAATTCTTTCTCAAGCATGTTCTTAATGTGACGTTTATCTTGATGTCCCCATCTGTGATGATATAACTCTAACAAGGAATTGTCTGCTTCAGCAGCATGCACTTCTATAATTTTATCAGGCATAATAGGTTAGATAGCTGCCTTGTATAAAGTACCATATACTTTCCGAGTTCCAAAAAGCACTACTTGACCATTAACCTTTAACCAGCATTCTGTAACTGTTGAAATAAATTTACTATTCGGATTTCTATCTTGAGCAGCAAGTAAAGAAAATAAATTTCTGTTTATCTCAGGTACATACCAAACATCTTTAAGGTAAATTCTTTGTATTTTACTACCAATAGTTGTTTTGACACATACTGTACCTTTACCAAGAGCAACTAAAGTTTCTTTTCAAGCAGCCTTGATGCTACAGGGACTATCAAACTTCATAAAGTCAATAAAGTATGTGAAACAATTCGTGATATGTCTTGTAGCTCCACTATCAATCCAAAAAGATGTTTGATCAGTCTTAGCCTCTTCGTCAATGGACATCAGTATTACACTGCCTGTATTTCCTTCATTGGTTTTCGTTAACCTATTCTTGGGTGGTCTTCCATCAGCAATCCACTGTTTACAATCTTTTTACCCAGTGTCCTTTCTTTTTGCAATAATTGCTTATATCTTCTTTTCTTGGTTTTCTTCTGAATTTGCCTTTTTTATATTGCTTTTGTTTTTCAGATTTTTACATTACTAAGGCCACTTGTTCATTTGTATTATCTTTCTCATGACTTTTAAATTCTCTTTCATGACAGCAAAGCTGTGCTGTTAACTCATCAACTGTTCTTTTGTCTTCACCCAAGAGTAACCAACTTGACTTAAACAAATGGTATTGTCCTGGTAAGACATCTAAAATCTTTCAATTGAGTAGCATGTCAGGTAACTTATTTTCATTTTTCTTTTCAAGTCCTGAATTCAACTCATTCCATAAGTTTTTTTTAATTTGGAAAGATGAGCTGCCATATTATCATTTTCATTCCACTTGAATTGAAAAAATTGCATGCATATATTATACAATTGATTTTCTGATGATGCTTCAAATAACTTATGTAATTCCAACCACACTTCTCTAGCAGTCTGAAATCTCATAACTTTTTGCAGAGTTTCTTCCGTCATGGAATTCGTTAATACCATCATAGCACTAGTGTTTGCATTTTGAAACTTCTTAACAGCTTCATTATATTTCTCTTGTTGAGCAATCGGAGCATCTACAGGAAGAATTTCTGGTTTCACTATAGTTCCTTCTACAATTTCTAAAGCACCAGGATGATAATTTAAAACAAATTTTATCCTGTATTTCCATATAAGCCAATCGCTTTCACCTGATAAAGGCTTTACTTGGACCTTAGATAATTCCATACTTTGATTTCTAAACAACTTTCGATTGCTATAACGAAAACAAAACACTTACTTGATTAGGCTTAACGAGTTCCGTTTCTTCGAGAAAACATCAATTCAAAACATTTGACGCAATATGGAAGCTTGCTGGGCCCATAATCTAAAAAAGTATTTCTTAAAAATACGTAACCTAAAAAGGTATTTCTAAAAAATAGAGAGAAAACAAATAGCAGAGAAAAAATACGATGCTTTTATTGGAATTACAAACTATTGCTTTTTTTTAACGACACTATCGCGAAGCACGATCTCCTGATGACGACAACACTCACTGTTCCCAGAACTTATCTAAACTATATATTATATTATTATTATTATTATTACATACTTTAATATTCTCTTCCGGGAAAAATCTCTACGATAACAGTTTACGGCGACATCAAACTATCTTTACAAGATTTACAGTATCTAATTTATTGCTGTCTTCTGCCAGCATGTATTTCTCCCCAAGATTATTCCTAAATGTTTATTTAGATCCCCTACGTCCTTTGTGTAGGGGTATCGTCCGTATTCGTAATTCATTAAGCTAAGGATCGCTGTTTGGTCATTTCTGACCCGCCTCTCCCTTCGTTCACATTCCTAGGAGATTTGAAAATATACTCAACGGAGAAATCTGCTTTTCTTTCATCTCACCTACTAATAGGTTGATACTCAAAAACGAAATCCCGCTGCTACCTCCCCCTCCCAAATGCACACACTTGCGTGTAATCAAAAAGCATCCTGTAACATCTGTTGTTTAAAATAAAAACTGTCGTAAAAGTAAAAAATTTTCCGTGTTTGATAGGTACTTTTTTAATTCAACTGTGAAACACCAACACTATAAGAATTTAACTAACTGAGCTCTTGTCTGAAAGAACAATTATTATTTATTTATTTTGATGATTTAGTTCAGCTTAAAAAAGAAAAAAGAATTCATTCCTTCCTAGTGTGAATGCTTGCTTTGGAAGAAATTTTTTTACGTATTTTTACGTATCACTATCAAAATGACGTAATGCTTTAGTAGAGCCATATATTTTATTCTGGTTTTAAGTCTACCCGTAGTGCATCCAAAAAATGGGAAGTAATAAATATTGACTCTCTACGAATTTTCGCAACCTCAAGTAAGAGATTTCAGATCAAGATGACATTTTAAACATCCTAGATGCAACAGATTTTGGAAGGATTGTCACTCAGTGGAGGGTGCATTTAAAAATACGCTTAAAATAAGCTACGCAGTACCATTTCCCTCTTTTTGTAATGGAAAAAGGGATAGAATCTAGAAAGTACGAATGCTAGAGTAAACACAAGTGGAAACGTTAAATACGGTTACTTAGATGGGATGAATCCTTTAACAGTTAAAGCATGGTAGTTACTGCACTGCGTATTGTTGCGGATGTTTTCAGCTTCACTGTTTCGTGGATTTTAATTTCTTCTGGGATAAGACATCGGACAGCAATGGCTTTGTCTCTATATGTAAGACTGTCCGTCTTACGCAAACAGAGAAACTTATAATTATTCTGATAATGACGTTGGTAATAATATTTCGTTTAAGGATGAAAAAAATATGTGGATGCAAGTAGTTTCCCAAAAGAGGTACCCCAACAACCTAGGATAAACTAGTCGTGGTTATTCCCTGATAAAAATTTAGCGAATTCGTTAAAACACTTATGGAACTGATGCCATCTTTACAGCAAAATTTCAAGGAGAATTTCTAAATATCTTTCGTTTAGTGCTAACGCCCTCCGCGAAATCTCACAATATTTTGAAATATACTCAAATAAGTGTTAATGCCTATCCATACATTTCCCTAAGTGGTAAAGCAAAATAAATATACATAATAAGCAGAATATATGTAGAAAGTTCATTTTTCAAATATGAAATGAAATCTGTTGCCGATGGAGAAGAAAAGGAGCTTTTTACAACCAACAGAGGTAGATACTAGGATAAGGAATAGAAAAGATAGCGTCGTAAGATAAGCGTTTTCTAAAAATGCGTTACAATTTATTTACGTATCATTTTTGGCAGCACTCGCGTCTTATTAGTAAATGGTTAAAGGCCATATTCTAAGATTTGAATATCGTAAGTTTAATTTTAATTTTAAAGCTGTTTACAGGCAAATAAACATGAGTGTTTTTTTTTTAATTTTATAAAATAATAGCATTATTATTTGCTGCTCTGACAAATTTCGTGTAACTAGATAATTTGCAAATTCTAATATCTATGAAAGCAATTTCGCTCCTCCTATTCTTTTACCAGAATTGTGAATTAGCTTAGTAATTATATGCATTTTGTCGCATGTTCACTAATTTAAGTTTCAGAAGCCAGACAATGCATTTAGATGGAATTCGTAGGGTTTTAGTAATGCTGAGCTGGGGTGTCTAACATAAGCAGTGAGCCAGAAAAGCGTGCATGCTGAAATTCAATGACTTATCTGTTTATTACTTGTTCAGCATATTTCGTCTCTTTTATTTTCATTACTGTATTATTTATTAATTAAGTAATTATAGTATATTAGAGGTCTCAGTATTAGAAGAAATGCTATACTGATTCTTGATTTTACATTATTATTATTTTGGGGAAAGTGCAGAATCGCCCACTGCTTGGCGCGTTTTTAAGAATTGCACATACTGGGTATCCATGTACACATCAACCTATTTTCACTTAAAAAAAACCTCTCAGAAGTTGCACAAAAATGGCATTGCGCACACTCCCTTGACTTTATCCATGTACACGTCGACCTATTTTCACTTCAAAAGTGAAAAAAATTGACAAAAATCCAATTCTTACTCTTCTAAAAAGCGCCAATCAAATAAGTGGGCGATTCTGCACTTGTTTTTTTTTTTTTTTTTCTTCTTCCATCCTAATAGTTTATGGATACATGCATAGTTTATACCACGACATATATCTCATACATTTTTGTATTTTTAAAGAATAAAAAGTACCTATATGTTAATTTGGAAGGAGGAAAGCCATTGACTGTATTTTTTTATTAGGTGGATTTGTCTTTATTTTTAAATGCCCCGAGACGATTGTTTTCTCCTTTTGTATTGTGTTCTATTAGACCTTTAGTATATTAAAAAAATTGAAAGTTAGGAACACAGTAAAACTACCTTCTGAAATTTCCTGGATTTCTTTGGTTGGTTATGTATTTACTACCAAAAAACCTCTCAAATGCGTGGTGGTTGTGCAACAGAAAAATCCCTAAAACTGAATAACCAAAAATTAAAAATTCTACTTAAAAAGCAACATTTCACTCATTTAATTTGTTTGTACTTTTTTGTTACTTGCCACGATTTTTGTTGCCTATGAGAGGGAAGCCATACATCTGCCGAGAGCTAACAGTAGTGCTTTCTGGCCTGTCGTTGTGTATGCATATGTGTATCTCTAAACTATTTTTTTAACTAGAAAGTGTTTGCAATTAATAAACTCACCATAATGCATAGCAAGTGCATTACGGAAAAGTAGCTAAAATTTACTTTCTATCTTTTCTTTCATCCCCCATCCCTAGTTCTGTTGTGTTTCACAATCGGAGTACTTGTAGTCATTACTTTAGGCATTTAAGTTTTATTAAAATATATTAATGCTACGGTAAAAGTTTACAATTAGGTGCCCCTTGTTTTGGGGGATTCTTTTTTGACGCCAAGATCGGCACCAGAAAGGCACAATTTCAAGATGGCCGCTACATAAAACCAAATGTGAAGTCAAAGAATTGCCCAAACTCTGTGTCCATGTACACATCGATCTGTTTTCACTTAAAAAAAATCTCAGAATTGCCAACTAGGCATTGGCACTGCCTTAAATTTGTCCATGTACAGATCAATCTATTTTCATTTAAAAAAAAAATCAGGAAGCTAAGACAAAGTTAAAACTATCATGGTAACCAGAAGTGAGGTTTCATCGCCAAAATTTAAAAAAAAAAAAAAAAAAAAAAAAAAAAAATTCACATATTGAAGGGGCCCCAATTCTACACTACAGAAATTGCTGCTTATTACAGAATATATTCAGTTATAGCTTAAAAGTGATTATGAGTTGTGCTGTGTTTATTAGTCCAAAAGGGGCTTTTTTTCTGAAGGACTATTGTTTTCATTTTGCATTGAAAACTTTAAAAAAGACTGTATCACTTTTCAAATTCATTGCTACCAAATACTTTACTATTAGATAGATACTTTGAAAAAATTAAATAATGAAGAATTTACAACTTTGAAAAAATTAAATAATGAAGAATTTACAGAAATGTATGCATGTTTCTCACATTGTGATAAAACAACGTTACCTAGAGCCATCCAGTTTTGAATGACATAATCTTAGTGCAAGTATGGGCATCTGGAAGCCCAATTTGGAATTTGTTTTATTATAGATTTCATATTTTGTAAAACTTTAAATTCACAAACTCAAGGATTTCAAAGCGAGCAATGGCAACATTATACAGAAAAAACGTTTTTATCTCCAGCGTGTGAGACTGTGTATTGGAAATTCTAAAGACATGCTTATTTTAGAGTTATTTTGCAATGTTGCTGTTGAACTGAATTTTATGAGAAAAACATGATATTTAATAAAGGTAACACTTGAAACGTTTGAAAAAATGCCCCTATGGACGTAATTTAAAATCTGAAGCCTTTCAGATTTTTTTTTTAATTATTATTATTTTTGTAAGAGAAGGATGGTGTCTTCCTGTTTGCGCGAAATCATCAATTTCATTACTCCCCCCTTCCAAAGGGGTTCCATAATGGGGGACCGACTGGGCGTTGGCCTCTTCCGACACGTAGGAAAGCAAAAATTTTTAGATTTAAAAAAAGAATTTTTAAAAGAAATAATCGAAAGATATTTACGAAGTCTGAGTCTTTGTATATCTTTGTATAAATGAAGTACTGTATTTAAAATGGAAGAGATGTTCAAACTCTGTGATGATTTTGGCAATGAACTAAAAGATCGTTTCTAAATTAAAAACAGTATTCTTCCGAAATTCTGCATAAATTTGAATTATAATAAAATCTCAGAATATATATTCTTTGCGAAAAGAAAGACAGATGAGATGAAAATATACCTCGAATATCAAGGCAGCTTCTGAGAAAGCTTTGTCCTAGCCAACAGAAGCTTTTTTTTTTCCTAGGTGTAAATTGTCAAAGTCTTAATTCAGAAATATAGCATCTGAATCTCAATTGAATGGACTTGCTTTACTTGCATTTATCGGAATATCCAAATACATTAATTACATCCTAATACCAATACGGAATATCCAAATGCATTACCATTGATAAATTTATTAATTGTCAAAGGTAAATTATGTTAGTTTCAAAGATTTAATTCAGAAATTCCAGAAGCACTTAGCGCATGATTCAGCAGTGATTGATTGTATATATTTATCATACTAATTTAAAATAATTAATTATGTGTATATACTTGTTAATTAATTATTGACAGTAAATATAAATAGTTAAAGAGTATATTTTAAAGTCATTTATTTTTATATACACATCTGTATTTGTATATAATGAAATTGCTTAATTATTATCAACTTATTTGATATTATTTCATTTTAAAATGCTGTTATTCTAAATCTCCTATTCATCTAGCTTCTTTTTTAAGAGAAACTGTACTTTGTGAGTCACTTTCAATTCCAACTGTAAATGCGATTCACAATTTAAATTTAATTTATTCGTATGGTGGCAATATTAAAAACTTCGGAAACACTGGTTCAACAGGTTGTAACTGAAGAGTAAACTACAATCAGCTTCTTTAAAAGGCAAATATCAAGACGACTTTAAGTTTACTCTGACGATGGATATTTAAAAAGTGGAGAATTCAGTATTCGTCGAATATTGCGATATTCTGATAATCCCTTAAAATTCGTGCTTTCGAAATCTCTGATAATCCCTTAAAATGCATGCTACGATTAGAAAATTTAATAAATTTGATTACAACGTGATGTTATTAGGTTTAATCACTGCAGCGAAATGAAAAATATGTTATGCTCTCACCGGGTCTCAAACACGGACTTCTCCATACTCCCAGTATCGAGAAGTCACACCACGAAGGATGCGTAAAGAAAAGAGAAAATGTCTTATATTACTTTCTTTTAAGGACAACTGGGGAGAAGGGGATCCAATCACTAAATGCTGGTGGGGACGAATTATCGTCCACCGCCTTTTAGTTCAAGCAGAAAACGTGAAAAATATGCAGTGCCCTCCCCGAGTCTCGAACCCTGGACCTCTCGAATACACGCCCGAGTATGCTTCTAACTAATCACGAAGGCATGCGGAAAGGAGGCAGAAAATACCTTATAACTAAAATTATCAATTTAATAACACAGAAAATTCAACTTTCCTTCACACTTTTCCAGGCTTAGGACTGGCAGTAAAAATACTGGCATGTTTAAAAGTTGTATGATTTTAGTCACTTTCCTTTTTTTTAAAAAAAAATTATTATTAAGTTATTTTTAGAGAAAATTTTCATATGTTTTAATCGAATTTTTGTAGATAAGAAAGAGATAATAAGCACTTTCTTCTATTTTGTGATGAGTAAAATTCTTGTATAATACATTGGATTCTTTTCTCTGTTTTGACCACACTTGTTTTCCTTCTTTTCCCTTCTAAATTTACATAATGACAATCTATAAAATAATCACTTTCTTTAGCTCCGTTTTTCAAAAATTTTATCAGTTCTAGAGTTTTAGGATGGATTTTCCTAATAACACAATTAAATTTATGATGCCATCCTTCAAAATATTATTGGTCCTGTGCAATTTTTCATTGCAGTTCCACATCTGTATACTTAAGACATCGTTTTCAAGCCACTGCTCAACAAAGTAATCATAAAATGCCTCTAATCTTGCATTACGAGGTGAACTTTCTTGTATGCACAGCCAACCATCATCGACACATTCCGCGGGTATGTATGCAAGGGACGCGCACATTCTGAGATGGGATCTAATTTATTCATTATACCTATATTCGTTAAAAAGTCCCAAATCTTGAATCTTTCTCTACAGACACTGATTTAAGTGGAAATTGCAGCCTCTTATATTTAAAGAAGGAAAAATATTTTTCAGCGAAATTATAACTGCAATTTCAAAAATTCAT